ATGCTTGGTTCTATAATTTACATTATATTGAAGACAAAACCCCACTTTATTTTTAGTGATTTTGACATGAACAACATGTATCTTTTACCATCAATAATGCGTCTACATTCTAATAATCATTTTTATTTATACCAAAGTAAGTCTCTAAATTGTTTCGTTTCTAAAGAAAACGTTGAACAATCATTGATAAATATTAAGAATATTCCATCTAAAATCAATAAAATCCTTTTAATTTTTTCTTTATTCATCCCACCACACGCAAATAGGGGTAGACACGGTTCAGTTGCGGTTTAACTAAAATCAATATTTAAACTATTTCATTTTTTGTTTTTTCCATTTTTACTAACCAAAATCAAACCAAAAATATTTATGGATTTTTAGCTCGACAATCAAAATAATCAGTTTTAATGTTTTGGTTATCAGCTTTAACCAAGTTAACAATGAATGCTTATTTCAACTTTAATAATGACTAGACTAATTTTTTAAAAAAGAATTTTTAAGGGATATAAATATAACAAAATCCCAAAAAGATGGATAAATAAGGGAAAATTATGAATTTTGAAGTTTATTTTTTTACTTTTAGACATATTTTAAATTTAAATACTAAATTACAACAACATTTATAAGGTAAAACTTGAAAGGAAATTGAATAGGATGATTTTTATGTTTATTTATAATATTTAAATAATAATAATTTATTTATTAATATAAAGTTTATTTTTCGGTTATATATTTGGTATCAAATTTTCAATCTTCTAACTATCAATCGATCAAATTTTTTTGGTTATCCAACCAAAATTTTTTTAAAAAAATAACACTAACTATTTGTAACTAATTATTTAGTTAATTTTTTTATTAATTTTTAATTACCCATTTGACAACCAACCATTTATCCAGCCCTATGCCCAAAAACCATATTTCACTTTGTTAAAAAAATAAAAATTTAGAAACAATGTGCTCAAGAGAATCCAAACTCTTGAAGGAATAACCGAAATTGCCGCCTTTACTAACAGTCCGGCCCAAGAGCAGTAAAATCCAAACTCCGCGAAAGAAATACTTGCCGCCTTAACCAACAAGATGCGGCCCAAAGGTAGTTCCAAATGGGGCCTGGTACTGGGGCCGCAACTTTCATTTAGTTTATTTATTTATTTATTATTTATAAAATTAGTTTTTAATAACTCAATTTTTTACAAATTAAAAATTAAAATATTTTAAATTAATTTATTTCATTAAAGTATCATAAAAAATTTTAAAATAAGTTTATTTATGTTTTAAGAATATATTATTTTAATAATTTTTACTTAAAAATTTAATAAAACAATATAATTTTAAAGGATATAGTTGATAACACTTTTATTTTTATTTTTTTCACCTATACTATCAGAAGTTTGTATTGTAAGATAAGAAGTTTATAAAAGTCATTTAGGAACAAATCCTATGGTTTGCTACTGTATGGTTGTATTGTAGGTTTTTTTATTTTTTTTATTTTGTCTTCTACTATATTAAAAATATATAAATATTGATTAAAATAGTAAAAGTAGATAAAAGTATATTAAAAATAAAAATTTATATTTTAAAATAATATACCGTATGAAAAATATTTGTGTGAATTATTGTCAAATGAAGCCTCATTATGCTATACCAAGGAGAAAAAAAAAAAAAAAAGAAGAATTATGACAGAGTTCTATAACAATCATACTAACTTCAGGGACGAAGTTGAATATTTTTTTAAAGTTTCAGGTTGATTTTGTTATTTAACATTTCCAAAACGATAACTCGTTAACCGTTTATGGGAAGCCGCCCAAAGCGTCTTCTCCCGTGTACTCTGTACCAAAACCCCTATCCAGTAGCCCTTTCCGGCTTTCGTTTCCTTTTCCACTCGCGAGTCTCAGTAGTCACCGGCGCAGCAGCGATCTTCATTCGCCGGTGGAAGTGACCTCTAAAGATTCAAGTATGAACATCGAGGAGCTGGAAGATCTGGACGGACCTAGCCAAGTAAACGCTCGGACCTCCAAATTCGCGCCCAAATCCTCCAAATTTGCACCAAAGATCAAACCAAAAGTGCAGCTGAAGCTGGAATCCAAATTGGAGCCGCAAGAACCAACGGGAAAACAAAAGACGGAACCAGGTCAATCAAATGTATTGGTTTCCAAAAAGAAAGAGAACCAAGAGGTGGATGCTAAGTCAGCAGTCTTTGCAGAACTGAAAAGCGAAGCTTTAGTTTCAAATGGCGCAGTAAAAATGGATATTGATACTAAAGCAGAAGCCGAGGAGGAGTCGAAACTATATGACGCCATGGAAGAGGACCGTGAAGAAGAGGAGCAAGAACAAGATATGATTGTTCGCGAAATCGATGTGTTTTTCACTCCCTCAATTGATGCCAATACTCAGGTCTTTTCACTTTTTTCAACGAGATATAACACAAAGTATATATGTTCATGTTTTCTTACAATCTGTTGCTAATGAATTACAGCTCTATGTTTTGCAATACCCTTTAAGACCGTCCTGGCGTCCCTACGAGTTAGACGAGCGTTGTGAAGAGGTTTGTACCTAGTAGTTGTTGCATAATACCCCTGATTTTGCATTTCTCCTCCTTTTGGGAACAGCAAAAGGGAAGATATAATTTGGGTTTTGATTTGTAGGTAAGGGTGGAACCTGCAAGTGGGAGTGTGGAAGTAGATTTGCCCCTTGATGTTGATTCCAGGAATTATAACGGGGATGTTACTAACAATAAGATGACAAAGCAGGTTGGTCTCTGGTCTTGCATTTTAGGGAAAGTTTTATATATTTGTAAACCTGCTTGGATTCTTCGATGTAAAGAAGAGAAGGGTCATTCAATGTGAATTAACATTTTAAAGAAAGGCTGAAGTTTATTGAAGTAGAGTTCAGAATGTTCTCACATTCCCTCATGATTTTTTCTCATTGAACCGCCAATGAAGGACTATGCTTGCAACTTTAGAAGTGTTGTTCGTTTCTAAGTTGTCTCTCCAAAAGAATTCCAATCAGGATTCTGATCCCATTTTGTGCCCTATGTTTTTATTCCTCTTTTGCCATTTTTTTAATTATTTATTTCTTGGGAGAGAGGGTGAGAGTTGAAGGGGGGTTTGAAAGAGGTTTCTTTTTATGAGTTTCAAAGAAAATACTTCTATACAGTCTTATAGTCTCTGTATTTATTTGATGTTTCCGTAACCTTCCCTTGTTTTCTAAAATTTTTTCATTGTGTTATCTGATTTTATAATTCATGGTCTTTTATAGACATTACGTTCGGTATGGATGCCACCTCGTGCAACTGGTTATGCTGTTGGGGTTTTAATGGGTGATAAGGTATGTGTACATTTCATAATCTTTTATGGTCTTAGAGCTTAACTATAGGTTCTTCCCTGCATATTCTAGTTATAGGTGGAGCTGTCCATTCGTCATTAGAGCAGGGGTTTATCATTTTATCAAGGAAACTTCAGCATGTCCTGGCCTGATATTTGACCAGCATAATTTTCCTCCCATGCCCACCTCAGGTCTAGATGGCTGGACTGTCCATATACAGGTTTAATTACATATTCTTATAGGAAAAAGCAAAAAGTTAGTAGTGTGTACGTGTGTGTTTTGGGTTGCAAATGAGCCTATCATGGCATTTGTGATTGATTGTTTACTAGTTCCCTAATTTTCTGATGTCTTGAATGCTGGAGATCCTTGTGAACCAACCAACAATTACATGTCCTTTTAGGACAAAGCAAAAGTTGGTAGCATGTGTGTGTTTTGGGTTGCAAATTAGCCTATCATGGCAATTTTGATTGATTGTTTACTAATTCCTTAATTTTTTGAGGTCTTGAATGCTGGAGATACTTGCAACCCAACCAACAAGAGCTTAGTCCACTAACTATAAAACCTTGATTTGGGGTCAAGGTCAGGGGTTCAAATCTTTGCAATGCTAAGCAGCTAACCTCTCACTACCAAAAAAAATGAGATTCTTATGACCTAGCTGCATCCTACATTAGGTGTGTAACAAGAAGGCATGGGCATATAAGCTGGTTAAGTGAACCTGGTTGCCAATATCTATATGTTCCTTGGAAGGAGAATAGATGATATCTAGTAACTAGTATGTGGATTAAAAGGTTTTAGTTTTTTGATCCTTGGGACACAATGATTTCCTGAAATCCAATTTTCTTTTGCAGTTACACCTGAATCCCATCCATGCTGTTGTTCAGCTTCGACCATCATTGGAGCATCTCAAGTCTGGTGGCTCAAAGAAAAAGCATGTGGGCACAGCTGATATAGAAGGCCCTGTTAAAACAGAAGAATCTACTGAAGGGAAATCTGTTGGTCCATCAAGCAAGCAGGTGAGGCTGCAAATATAAATATATTTTCCTTTGTAGAATTTGCCATGCGGTGTGAAATTTTCGATTATAAAGATAAGTTCTGTAAATCTATGCCTTGCTAGTAAATCCATCTTGCAGTAATTTCAGGTTAAATTCTCTGCCCACCCAGTTTCCTGTTTTAATTCCTTTTTTAGCCATTCTGAAATGCATCAGTTTTAAGTGTTATTTATTGTCATGATTGCAGAACAAGCGAGCACAATCCTCAACTGAGCAAAAAGCAGATGATGAAAAGGTATGGCAGTTACACTCGCCTAGCAAATTTATTTTGTTTGGAAGAGGGATAGTTTTGTTGTTTATTATACTGAACTAAGCCTTTTTTTTTTTCTTGTTTTTATAATTTTTATGTTGTATTTATTAGATGCTTTCACTTTATAGAATACAAAGTAAAGATTTTCTAATTTTATTTTACCAAACTATAAATTAATTAGATTTCTCGTCTTTGTTCCTTCCATTTTCTCTTATTTTGCAGTGCTTTGTTCCGCTTAAGTACCATGGCTCTGTGAGTGATTTTTCAGCTCAGTATCTACAGAAAATGATGGCACAAGAAAGCTCACCAATACAATTTACAATGAATTCGTATGTTTTTATTTGTTGCCTGTTTTTTATCTGGACACTGAAGTTCCAGAAGTTGAACTTAAAATACTGACTGCAGTTGAAGCATGATAATGCTGATTGTTTGCTTTTTTAAATTCATTTTCATTATATCTAGGTATGACTATGTCGATTCTTTGTGTCCTGGAGCAAGCAACAACATCAAAGCTACTGGAGCATCGAGAAGGTATCCTGAAATAGAGATGTCAATTTTAATATCAAAGTTGTTTAGAAGTATGATTTTATTTGATGTTTGGGGGTGATTAGGAACTTACATGGGTTAAACTGTTACAAGTATGTATTTCAATTGATCTTATGTTTCTTTTCAATAGAAAGCAGTTGATTTCATTTTGTTTGTGTGTGTGTTTGTTTTCTAATTTCTAAATATTAGGGTTATTTGTTAAATTTAACACACATTGCGAATTGCAGGTTGTGAACTTCTAAGGTATTATTTCCAGTATTATAATTTTAGTTGGTTCATATTTGTGGTAGGAGATTTAAGGTAGTGAAAAATTTTGGTAGTTCCCTATCTTAGATATCAAGCCCTTGTTGGGATGCATATTGTTTTATCTCCATAAGTAGCATTTAAATTGGATGTGATTAGTGAAACTACACTCTACTAGTCCTTATGTGTTGTTATCAGCTAATCTAATAAAACTGCTATGTTATAACTATTCTCCTTGTTTTTATAGTTGGCCCATATAGGGTTGTTAGCTGTTGTGGCCATTTTTGCTTGATGAGTATCTTTCAGCCCATATAAAATAATTATGCCAACACCTGTATTTTGGACATATTTTACATTAAAACATACATAATAATTTCCGGCTTTTATTTTGCATGTCTATGTTGTGGTTCTGGTTTTATGATGTCTATGGTACTTGTTTCTCATGTTTTTGACTTGTCATTGCTTCAGTAGTACTATGTGACTGTAATGCATCGTCTACCTGTGTTTGTTATTTAAATCTAAAGACTTGATTGGATATTGTTTCAGGTTCCTGCTTTCTATGCCACTTGATGAACGTTTCAAGAAATTGCTGTCTGAGGTCTGTTGCTTTCATATTCTGAAGGGTAGATCTTTAGATCTCTCTTTGGCCTTGTTGAATTTCTAAGGCATAGTCATAACCTTTACCCTATCCATTCCTATAGAACTTATGCTTTTAGGTTATTGCATCCTTAATGCTTTTGTTTGCTTGGATTTATGCTCAAGATTTTCATTTTGTCATTTGTTTATCAATTTACAAAAATCACCAATCTTCCTTTTTCATCCGCCAAACTTTACCTTTTTAGGAAAAGTAGTTCTGAAGTTTTTGTCAACTTTTTTTTGAGGGGCACTGAACATGGGCCTCTTAAAGCAGTATTTTCATTTATTCTCAAATCTAATCACTCATTTTCTGTTCCATCTCACAATAGGGGCCTCCTATTCAACGGTTCAGTGCTCTTAAGCATTTTGCTCCTGATGCTTCAACTGAAGATGTTTTTGGAGTCCTTGAAAAGCATGCTGATTTATTGCAAGGACTCTGGGTTCCAAAAAGTAAATTGCTGTTTCCAGGAGATTCTTCCAAATCTTTACCTCGAGATTATGTGCTTGTTTTATTTAGCAAGAAGACAGAAATCAGTTTGGAGCAAGTAAATTTTGCTGGAAGTCGTAAAGATGAAGTAAAAGGCTTCCTGAAAAGTTTAGCCATTGAAAGACCTTCCTTCAAAGATTGGAAGTTGAAAGAGCAACCAGATGTGGCATTTATGAAACGTTATCCAGATATTGTTAAGAAGCAAGAAGAGGCTTGGAAAGTTAAAGATGGAGCTTTAATGTCTCTTATGTTAAAAATAAAAGGTGGGTCCAGTAAAACAAAGCCCAATATTGCAATTAAGCCTGAAAAGGCAGTGAACTTAGATAAAGGTGAAGCAAAAGCTGTCCCTGGGGCACAAGCTTTGAGGAAAATGGCAGATGAAACTCGAGAAGCTATGCCAAGGTACCTGAAGAAGGTTTTTCAAATTCACAAGGTTTGCAGGTATGCTGTTAAACTCTTCAACAATTTAATATATACGACTAAAAACTTGATTTTTTTATGCTATTTTATCTTTAGTGTTGTTCCATTTTTATGTTACAAACTAAGTGATTTGTGCCTTTTCTAACACCCCCCCCCCCCCCAAAAAAAAAAAAAAAAAAAAAAGAAAAAAAAGTGGAACCTTCATCCAACTCATCATTTTACCAACTGCCTTTCCGGACTACTATTAGCCTAGATC